CCCCAGGGCCTCTCTAGCCCACAGGGGAGTCTTGACAACTGTTACCCCCAGTTTTCAGACAGGACTTGAACCCTTCCTTCAGTCAGAGGGTGGAGTGCGACTTGCTGGGTGGTTTGGGCACTGAGAAAAGCCAAGCTCCACGTGTTCCTCTTGGTTTCCTATCCCAACCTCTGGGTCAGGTTCCGTGGCACCTGAGAGGCCTGGAGAGGCCCGGGGTGGCCGTCACAAGGGAACGCCGTGATCCTGCAGCTGAGGTACCTCCTCGGCTCCTGGGCAGGGAAGTTCACCAGTCTCCAGGCTGGGATTCCTCAACGGCTTTGATTGTTCTTGGGTGGTTCAAAATCTTCCTTTCCCCCAACGAGGTCCAAATTCCTTGGCAGACAACACCCCCCACCCCCCCGCACCCCCCATTCCCACCCCTCACCCCCCACCCCCACCCAGAGCTGGAGGTATGTCCCAGCCGGAGGCTTGGCCAGGGCCTCTTTCCTGCCCGTCCCAGGCCTCACTGTCCTCTGACGAGAGCCCACCTTCACCTGCCCCTGGAAGGCCAGGACGCCCGGGAGGGAGGGACCAGGCTCCCAAACACACACAGGTAACCCCTGATAGTGGAGAGCATCCCGATAGAAAGTGGGAGAGGCGGGCAGACAGGTCAGAAACCTCGTCAGCCGTGCAGGAACAGAGGCAAAGCTGTTGATCTTTCAGGGGGGAAATTCTGTAAATGGTCTGTGGACCATTTACCCACGGAGTAGGAGAAATGGGGCCGACCCAAACGGACCTCAGAATCCCAATGCCGTTTCAGAACCACCACTGCCATTAAAAAAAATAAACAAATACATGAAAAGGCAGACAAGGGGCCACAGCTCCTGCGAGCATGGCTCCTTCAACTTACCGGTAAGTTCAGGTAAGGTTGAAGGAGGAGTCTCATTTAGCTGGGGAAAAGTCCTGGCGGACCTGTAGGGTGAGGTCTGTCTTGCGAGGTGGGAAGTTTAGGGTAGGGTAACAGCGGGGGTTTCCACAAGCAAAATGGAAAACCAGAGCTGGGGGGGGGGGGGCTGAGGCCGCAAGCAACTTCAACTGGAGAGCAGGAATCTCCATTCCTGATAGGTCGGCTGGGAGAGGAGAGGAGAGGAGAGGGGAGAGGAGGGGAGGTGAGGGGAGGGAGGGGAGAAAAGAGGAGGGGAGGAGAGGGGAGGGAAGAGGAGGGGAGGGGAGGGGAGAGGAGGCGAGGGGAGGGAGAGGGGAGGGAGGGGAGAAAAGAGGAGGGGAGGGGAGGAGAGGGGAGGGGAGGGGAGGGGAGAGGAGGGGAGGGGAGGGGAGAGGAGAAAAGAGGAGCTGCGGCCGCGGCCCCTCACCGGATGATCCAGATGTTAACCCAATGCTCCATCATTCCCCCACTCACGCGGAAGGACCAGGATCCCATGGGAACTTCCCGGCGCCCCACGCTGCCCCTTCCCCTGACTCCCCTGTATCTGTTCTCTGACCGGCCATGCATCCAGGAGTCCATCTGGCTCGGGTCAGGAAGCTACACAGCAAGGGCGTCCTGGAGCCTGGAGCTCATCAACCCTTCCCTCCTGTCTCTCTACCGCATCCTGGGAGTGTGATCTCCTGCTTCAAGCCTGGCCTCCACGTGAGGCTCAGTTGGGGCAGGAGGAGGGGGCTGGGCAATGTCACAGCCTAGCGCTTCTCCCCACGCCGCCCGGCTGAGGAGGTGGAGGTGAGGAGGGAGCTGAGAGCTGGGCTGTTGAAAGGAATTCTCACCCGACAGGGGTGAGACCAGGGAGGCCAGGGGCTGGCTCCTTGGCTCCTTGGCTCGGCATCTGTTCTTTGCCTGGGTGCAGATCACCACGGGGTGAATTACAGCGCACCAGCAGGCCTCAGAGGCTGGGCGAAGGAAGGTGAACTAGGGCAGGTAATCAGGCGGCGACCTTCCTGTCTGAAGCTGCTCCCACACGCCCACACCTGGGCAGCCTAACCTACTTCCCCAGGGGGAGGCCGGCTGATTGCCTTGATGCCCTGGCTGATCTGGGAATCTCACCAACTGCCAACCGGCTGATTGTCTTAGGTCCAAGGCCAACCACCCTTATAGGCTCCCTAAAAACTGGACGAAGAAAAAGAAAACCGTGGACACTCTTTTCTAGAGGGCTGGAAGAGTCACCTTGCTCAGATAGTTGCCCAAGGAAGTCAGGGGGGGGGGATCCAGCCCCCCAGAGACCCACTGGCAGAGGTCTTTATTTTGAGGATGGGGAGCAGGGAGCCTTGGAACCGCAGCCTTCGGGGGAGAGCCTGACAGCGGGACCACAGAGGCAGTTCCACAGACCCTCCCTCCTCATCCCCGAGTCAGAAGAAGAAGCCCCCCCCCCACAACCTGGACCAGGCACCCAGAGTGAAGATCTCCAGATAACACCTGGGAGGTGGCCCCCAGGCTCAGTGTCCCAGCAAGATCTCAGGAGACCAACATGGGAGAAAGCCACCGTGGACTGCGGCTGGCGAGATCTGAACACGGGTCGAGGAGCCCCCTCCGTGGAAGCCAGCCCCCCAGTTCGGCTCTGCAGCCTGCCTGCCTGCCTATCCCGGGCCAGCTCTGTCTGCCCCGGAGATCTCACCAGGGAAGACACGTCACAGCTCCTTGATACCCAGTGTGAAAACCGTGGGAGGCAGAGGCTTGCGGACGGAATGCCCTCTGCACACCACCCCCCCATCCGCCGACCCTTCCCACCCAACGCACAACACCCTGCATCAACGGGCAAAAGACCTAGGGCAGCGGACCAGACACCTCCCCCTGTCTCCCAACTGCTAAACAAGCCCACGCGTCCCGGCCTGGCCTCTCCTCCCTCGCTCCGAGCCCATCCTGACCCACCTCCTCCAGGAAGCGGGGTTATTTCTGTCCGCGCACCCGTCCGGGCACCGGCAGCTCTCTGCTCGAGGAGAACAGTGCAAGGCCTACTGAGCCTCTCCTGTTTCAAGGCGGAAGTTCTACCTTGAACTCAGGCACCACCGACACCAACACCGACCAACCACCAACCAACGCTCTGGATGTCCCTGGCCTCTGAGCACAGAAGACAGCGCCAGCCACTGCCATCTCCCTGCCCCAGCCCACTCCGAGGGGCAGGAGCTTTCCTTAGAGGAAGGAAGGACTTACGCCAGAGTGGACTCAAAGAGAAAAATAAAGCCAGTGAGACTACCAGCACCACGCTACCTGCAGTCCGCCCACTGGATGGATGGAGCGAGTGCATCCACGGTTGTCTTCCCTTCCTAAACCAGGCTCCACTGGGGCCTGTGGAGGCCCAGTGAAGGGTCCAGATCCAGCCAGCGTTGCTCCCCCAGCCCTCTTTCTCTGCGTTGGCAGCGTATCTGCTATGTTCCTAAGTGACAGGCAGAATCCGCAAGCCTGCTAGCCCAGGTCTGGATCTGGGGCCCAAGGGTGGGAAAGTATCACAGCTCATTTAAGCATCAGACTCTTGACAGAATCTCAGGACTCTCTCCCTTCCGGAAGCCCATGGAAGCTGGGCCTCTGTGTGTGTGTGTGTGTGTGTGTGTGTGTACGCATATGCGTACATGCACGCTTGCATATGCATATGTCTGTGTGTAGATATCTCTGAATAAGCTCAGGGATGACCGGTAATCCCAAAGCACCATCTCTCTCCAGCAAGGTCTTGCTCTCAAGCTCCACGGGGAAGATACACAATCAACCCCCCATTCCAGGGAGCAACCACGGCTCTGCTGTTGCATCCAAGATACAAAGGCTCCCCGGTCTCCGTTCCCAGGCCTCTTAGGTCTCCAAGAGTCATACATTCTCAAATCTCCTCAAGTCTTAGATGCCTGGATACCAGAAAAGCCCCCCAGACACCAGGGGAGTGAGGGTCTTACAGACCATGGCAGCGGTCACAGGAGTCAGGTTACCGAATCCTCGTTTCTGTCCCTTGTGCTGTGTGACCCTGTGGGTGAGCCATTCCAACCTCTCTCTGAGCTGCTAATCCCTCCTCGATATACGACCTGCTGTGAGGTTTACGGCAGGATATAAACTGGAGAAATTCACTACGAGAGCACCCAGCAGAAGAGATGGTAAACACTTTCGTGAGCAGACCCCAGCTACGTAACTTTTTGAAAAGAAAAAAAAAAAATCCAGCAAAACAAGAAAGAAATTGTGGGCAGCCTGGAAATTTCTATATCTTTAATATTCTCTGCAAAAAGAAAAAAAATTTCCAAATAAGAGGTCCGATGCAATCGTTTCATTAGAAAATAAAGTGTTTATTAAGAAACTATACACTGAACACTCCTATAAGTCTCTGTGGGAGCACAATGGCCCATTGTCTTAGCACAAGGTGAGAAAAGATGACAGAATCGAAGATGCTGGGATGGATGGGTGGTGCCTGAGAGGCTGGAAATGAGGTAATGGCTTACAATCATTGAAAAGAAAACATCGTCCTCACGCTTACTCCTTAAAGCCACACTGGAGAGAAGACCCTGGACCCCCAAGGCGGGGGGGGGGGGGAGGGAAGGGGAAGGGGAGACCAGCAGGAAGCAACGGGAGAGACCCCGCTGGGGAGCAGAGGAAAACAGGATGAGGGGCGGCTGGTAAGGGGGCCAGAGTAAAACACACAATGCACGTGCACGCGCGCGCGCCTCGGGGGGGAGCTGGGGAAAGCCCGAATCTCAGGTGATACCGTGGAAACTTTGGTGCCCAGCAAGAGCTTAGGAGGTTTTTGTGCACGCGGGTGGCTGTGCACCCGTGGAACCTGCTGGACACTCACCGTGAAGGACCAACGTTCCCGGGATTTGGGGAACAGAACCCCTCCTCGGGACCCTTGACTACGGTAGCAAGCCCAGGTGAACTTGCCCGCGGGGCGTGGACTATCACTCCACTCCACACACCCTGTGACCACCGCCGCCGCTGTGTCCTGAGACACGCCCCGCCTGCCCCCCCAGAGGGAGTTCCCCGCCCCCCCCCCCCCCGCTCTTCACCACCACCTCAGCCACATCCAACAAGGGACGCACGCCGTGGTCATAGGGAGAGCTGGGCCAAGCCAGACTCCGACTCAGCCACGGAGGTGTGGGAGTATGTCAACCTTTCCTATCAAGGTACCTCATCCTCTTCCCTCTCCCCAGTGGGTCAAGCTGAGAATTGAGGGTATGGGTGGGGGGGAGGTGGGGAGAGCAAAGGGAGGGAGGGGGGAGAGAGAGAGAGAAGGAGGGAAAGAGGGTGGCCGTGGAGTAAGGCATGAGTGAAAGCAAGCAGAGTGAACACACAGATTGACCAGAGAACAGGGCGACACTTCCGCCAGGGCCACCAGAAAGGGGCTGGAGGAGACCGAGTTTGACTTTCTCTTCCCCTTCCGTCCATCTTGACCTCGACATGGCGATCCCACTGGGCTCCAAGAGTTCTGGGTGAAGAATCAGAGGAAGCAGGAGGGAGAGAACCCCTCCCCGGGCTACGGGCTAGCAGGAAGGGCCCGGGTCCCCGGTGGTCTTAGGCGGATGGCCAGTCCCCGGGCAAGAGCTCCTGCGGCCACACCCGCCAGAGCAGAAGCAGAAGAAATGCTCTCCCAGGAATGTCCCCAGGGCCACCCTCACCGAGCCGCACCAGAGAGGAGACGGGGCAGGGCACAAGTGGGCTGTTGTTTCTTTCTCCACCAAAAATAAAAACAAAAATAGGAGAAAAAAAATGAAAAAAAAAAAACAAACACGATAGGCTTCCATTCTTTCCTCCGCGAGCTAGGCTGGGACCAGAGCTGGCCAGTGGCTCCTGAGACGCTGGCTCTCCGAGAGTCCTCCCGCTGCAGGACTGCAGGGAGGGTAACCAGACCACCGGAGGACTGCGTGGCACCCCCCCCCCCCGGGAAGAGCCTGGGAGATCCCAGGCTTCCAGGCAGGAAAAGTGAGGCCAGGACGTGGCTGGGCTGGGCTTCATCACGCTTGCTGCTGCTGCTGCTGCTGCTGGTGGTGGTTGGGTTGGGTTGGTGTTTTTGAGAGAGAGAATGACTACTGTGTATAGAAAATAGTTCCTGGTCCACAGGGGTTTGTTTGTTTGCTTGCTTTTTTTTTCATTCTCTCTATTGGCCCTAAAGATGGCGGCAGGAGTCTCACAGGCCAGAACGGGGAGAAACAAAAAAAAAAGGGAATACTGTGATGACTGGAAGAAGGAGGGAAAGGGAATCGCCCATCTTATGTCCGGACTCCGGGGCTCACACAGTGTCTATTTCGCATCCCCAGATCCAAAAACAAAAACCAAAAAAAGAGGAACAAAGAGAAAGATGATGCCTAGCGCTTCCAACCGCTCAGAGGCCCCAGCCTACCAAGGTGACATCAGAACAAGGAGGTTTAGAAGAAGGTTTGTGTTGTGTGTTTTTTTTAAAAGCCATGGCGTCCTTTGCTGAAATACACATTGACATCCTCAACATAGAGGCTATGGTTAAGAGCCTTAGAGTGTCCAGGAAGACTTATCGGATTCAACATAATTTCTCTGAAACCTATAAAAACAAAAACAAAACAAAAACAAAAAGGGGGGACAGGAAAACAGAAAATGCAAAATAAAGTAAAAACCGACCCCACCCCACCCCACTCCCCAAAGGAAGATCAAAACTAGGAGGAGGGCCAACAGAATCGCTATACTGGATAATCAAACGGATTGCCAGCAGAGGGGCAGGGAGGTTTGAGGGGGTGACGTGAAACCGGGCACGGTCCAGGAAGACCAGAAACACACAGCCCTCATCATGCTACGGCCTCCATTGAAGGGAGGAAGGGAAATGAGAGTTGGGGAATCTTGGCCTAGATCTCTCATCTGACTTGTCCTTTCTAGAAGGAAGAACCCCTTCGACAAGGAGCCCCGAGGCCAGTTAAGAGAATGGTTGCGGGCACGAGGGTCTGGAGAGAACACGGAGGAGGAGCTGTGTAAATGTGTGTGTGTGTGTGTGTGTGTGTCTACACACATATGCACACCTGCAGACAGGTGGACAGAACAAGCTATGTGTGACCCTGCCTGGGCACTGGGGGCCTGGGGGTGGGGCGGGGAGATACAAGTAGGTAGAATTCACGTGCACGGAGATGTATTCTTTCGTCCACAATGATCGGATGGGATTGAGTTGTCTGGAAGCGTTGGGGATGGGGTCAGATCTGTGATGACCAGGGGGAAATCAACTGTCTATGATGCTGGACTTCACCTGGCTTCTCCGTGCTGACCCCTGGCAGGGTGGGGGAAGGGAAGGCCGGCCGTGGGTGTGTTGTTACCCTGCTGCTTCTCTCCGGGCCTTGGTCCCTCTCGTTTCTCCCGCACCCAGCACCTAACCTCTCCTCCTCGGGGGAAAGACTCCTGTGACCTACGGGACTCGGGGTATCCAGCCATACCCCCCAGTCCTCTGACACGTGGGTGGCTTGATGCGTCTTGGGGACTTCAGAACTCCAGGGGGGGAGGGGGGCCTCGGTGGCGTACGGAAATGTCAAAGGAGGCGACTCACCATGTGACTTTGGGTAAGACACATCCCCACTCTGGACCTCGGGCTCCTCATATATATAGTGGGTTGATGGGACTAGGTGGTCTCTAGTGTCCTTCAAGTTTAATATCCCATGATTGTCTATGTTTGAAAAGACCCCTGGCAGAAGAGGCAGACATGGGGGAGGGGGGCGGTTAATGGTCAGTACTGAACCCCAGGTGTACACACACACACACACACACACACACACACTCACACGGGGAAGCCCTCTGTAGAGCACAGCACTGGGAACAGACATTCCCTCCCGCCCCGCTGGGCCTGCTGGGGTGTCTAGCCGATTTTACGCGTACACTTTAGATTCCTCTCTCTGAGCATCTCGCGGTGGCATGATCGGACTGGTTCCAGGGGTCAAGGGAAAAAGCTCTGCCTAGTCCTTCTCCTCATATGTACCCCCTTCCTGGGACCAGGGAGACCCAGCTTGCGCCCATCTACTCTTCTGAGTGGCCGTTCCTGGGCCTGGAAGGGGGAGGGTCTGCTGGATTCAAGCCCCCTTTCCCCCCACCCCTGCTCCCGAATCTCCCTTAAGGCTCCTGATCTCCCACAGAAGGTGTTCAGCGGATGTTGAGGGGGAAAGCGAGGTGACGAGAAGCAAGGATGACAGGGTGAGGATTCCCTAAAACTCCGCTGACTTTGTTCGGGCGTGAACCTCCGGAACGGCCCAAGAGCTCTTGGGGCTGTTTCCATGGGAGACCCAAGGGCCACAGCCCGTGGGGAAGAGACACCGTTCCTCTCCTTCGGAGGCCACGCTGCGTCCACGGGCTCTGGACGGTTCCACGTCGGATCGGTGGAAGGCCAGGGCCAAGCCCGGCTGAGCCTCGGCGCCAAGGTCTCTGAAGCTGCCTGCCTGAGCCTGGGCCTTTCCCCGGGAGAGCCGGGATGGGAGGTTTGTTTACTCTGGAGCCCTTTCCCAGGTGGAACCTTTCCAAGATTCGAAGCGCTGAAGCCTGATAGCAGAAGAGGCACCACTCCAAAATCCTCCATCACCCCCTGCCTCAGAAGGAGCCCAGAGCAGGAAAGGAAAGACATTTACTGGGCAGGGAGGGGAGAGAGAGAGAGAGAGAGCAGAGATAAGCAAGGGGACATGGAGCCTGCAGGAGATGCGGGGAATGGGGATGGATGGGGTGGAGGGAAGCCAGGCTGGGGAGAGGTGAAGATGCCCACCCGCCGTGGTCCACCGACCCCCCGTAGCTGACCTGGGGGCCTCTCTCTGTCAACAGCCTTCCAAAAGCCCCTGGAGCACAGGGGAACCGCAGGCCCCTCTGTAATTCAGAACCAAGCCTGGCCTTAGGGATTATCCAAACACACACTTCCTGAGAAGCCAGCCAGAGGCTCGAGCATCACGTGGGGAAGCGGGAGGCTGGGGAAGAGGAGGAGCGGAGCATCACGGGATGGGATGAGAGGGGTCAGGGCCTGCTCTGCCCTGCCCAGCCCAGAGCAGGTCCAACCCTCAGGAAAGAGTCCCGGGCGTCCACCACAGCGAGGAGCCGCGCAGCACCCGCAGCTGACTCGGAGACTCTCGAGCTTTCTAGAACCTACCAGATTCTGCAGCTTCTGCCTCCCCTCTCTTCATCTGTCTGACTCTGGGTTCCCCAAGGCCTCTCCTCCTGTCTCTGCCTCTCCCTGTTATTATCTGACATGATATTATTGCCCAACTCCATAACCTCTTTAGGTTATGACTTTAAAACCAAAAAAATAAATAAATAAAGGCCAATTGGATTGTTCTTGAACATTCCCCGCTTCCTCCGTATTCGTGGTGACGCTGAACGCACACCGGCCTTGACCGTAACCGAAGCACCCTGTACTGCAGGGCACATTGAGATATTGGTGGGCATCTGGAACCAGAGACAGGGACACACTCAGACGGGAGGGCGCCCTGCCCTAGGCCCCTGCTCTCCGTGGGGTGAGATGCCCCCCTTCTCCCCCGCCACGCTGCACGCAGACAAGAGTGGAAGAAACGAGGCCCCACGCCGGGTCCCTGAGATTGCTCGCCCACCTTCAGACACGACGGAGCAATGACCACCTACAGGAGTGAAATGGAGGCGGTGGCGGCGGGCGCCGCTGCCCGTGGTCGATTCACCCCCAGACCGCTTCAGAAACGATAGGATTCACCTCGCTTTGCCAGCGGGAGGCCCTGGCCTGGACTTCATCCACCCAGACCCCAAGGTTCCAGCTCCCATCTCTCCTCACGATAAACTATTCCGCTGGCCATCCACCACGTTTCTGAAAACTCCTATCTTAACTCCTGCCGTCCTGAGCCTGCAAACCCGAGCCAAGTGCGCGCGCTTGCTCTCTCTCTCTCTCAAATTTTTTACTTAGTTGCTAGCACTTAAAACTTGGAGAATTTCACAAATATCCCCGTTTCCAGGTTCCCTTGAAGATCCGAGCCCTGGCAAGGCGGAACGAACATCTCTGCACAGTAATAAGCAACTGGCGACGGTGGCGATGCTCGATTTAGACACGACATCTGTTCTCCAGTTAGCTGTGGCTCCCGCCGCTCCCCGCTGCCCGGTACCCCTGCACGTACAAGCGTGACACCTGCACAGAGTCTTCGCCTTGGAGCCTGGAACTCCTTGACAGGCATTAGGTCAGGGATGCGTGTTGATGACCTGGGAATTCTATTCCACGCATCCACCACCAGACTGACTCTGTGATACTAAACGTATTTCCTCCGGTCACGGTTAATAATGATAAAGAACAGGTTTAGCCCATCTCGGAACGGGAAGAGAGCCGGGGACCAAACTCTACAGGGAAGGAGAGGGTCCTGGCTGGGGTTTCCAAATGAAGCTTTAATGTCCCGGGGTACAGTCTGTGGCTAAGGATGTTGGACTGCGTGAGGCCCCCTCCCCCCGAGATTCACGAGGAGGACATGCCTTCGAGCAATGAGCCTAAGTTGGCGCTCCTATAATTCTGCAGATCCTTCCAAAGCTAAGTCTCTACTCTTACGTTTTTTTTTTGTCTCTAAACTTGGGAGTCCAGGGTGACGATGAGTGTATACTCCACTGCGCACTGCTTCGTGCTACAGCATCTCTGGTTTGCAAGTTTATTTCTCTTGTTTGGCACGGGGGCGGGGGGGGGGGGGGGTCTGGCTACATCATCTTTTGCTTCCAGAGGGAGAGGGTGGTCAGTATTATCTCTGCGGCAGCAGCAGGTGTGAGTCCACTAAAACTCGGACTTGGTTGCATGGTTTTGAGCAGAGAGGCTGAGTATTTTTCTATGTGAGAAAAGTGTATTCTCCTTGGTAGCAAAGTTAGCCCTTTAACGGATATCTGCCACGTCCTTCTTCCATGATTTCCTGTTTCCCAAGGGTGTTCTCTCCTTTCCGATTCCCCTTTGTACCAAAACCTCCATCTTCCGGTACGCCCACCCCCGAAGTCTCCCCCGACTGCACGCAGCTCAGTGCCATCCTCTCTCCTCAGTCCCTCCGGGCGCCAGCCTCTCACCTCTGCACCTCTGCCGTGGGCCACGGGGCCTCTCCGTCATCCACATTCTACTCCTGCCACAGAAACTTCCTCCAAGGCCACCAGTGGTAACTCCATGGCCAGATTTTTTTTTTTCTCTCCGACCCTCTCAGACTTGATCATTTCATACAAGAGGTGGGCGGAGGGGGAGGGGGGCCTCCCAACCACCCCCAAACTCTCCAGGATGTTCGTAAGAATGTGTCAACCACTCGGGTGTCATCTTCCTACCTGTCTGCTGCTCCTCCTCGCTCTGGTGGCTTCCCTACAGTGGATTCTCTCTCCACAGATGCTCAGGATCTTTCCAGAAATGCAGAATCTCGACCTCCTCCCCCTCCCCCAGCGCTCTCCCATCCTTTAAAAGCCCTACCGCAGTTCGTACTAACAGAGACACGAGGCCAAAGCCTTCCTTGCCGCCCTTCTACACTCAAACACAAGATTTCAAATGTGTGTTTTATTGTTGTGGGGGGAGGGGTTGTGGGGCCTGAACTCGGCCTGTGCGCTGTCCCTCAGCTCTTCAGCTCAAGGTGAGCGCTCTACCACTTGAGCCACAGAGCCACTTCCGGCATTTTCTGCTTACGTGGTGCTGAGGAATCGAACCCAGGGCCTCACGCATGCAAGGCAAGCACTCTACCACTGAGCCACCTCCAAATGCGTGTTGTATAGTCTCTCACGAATATGTACCTTTATTTAGATAAGTAGCGGGAAGATGGTATCAGAAAGATATGGAGACGGACTGACCTGGCTATTCCTAGCCCAGCCCTATAAAACCTACCAGCTCTGTGCGACCTCAAAGCCTGAAGCAAATTACTGAAGATCTCTGAGCCCTCAATTTTCTCAAGATGAGAGAGAAAAATCATTATCTTTATCACAGATGCTCCTATGATTAAAAAACAACAACAACAAAAACTAACTCAGGTCAACAGCCGAATCATGGCAGAATCTAACACGCACTGGGGTGGCCGCCCTCATTACCTGCTCTCATTTTGGGGTTACCGTGGTAGGGCTTCTCGCCATGTTCCTCAGATCCAACGCCTACAAGTTGATCCATCCAGCATTTCATTAACGAATCGGATCACACCCGCCAATCCATTACCGGTATCAGAAGAGCTCCATTACCTAAAGGTTAAAAGAGGCTCCTCCGTGCGTGCGTGCGTGCGTGCGTGCATGCCCCGCCACACTCGCAGCCTCCCAGCCCTCCTCTCTCCACACACTTCCTGTTCCGGTGGAACTCAGAACCAACCACACCTCACCTCTCAGCTTCTGCCTTTGCTTTCCCATAGCATTTCTCTGACCTGGCTGCTTATCTTCTAGCTCTTCTCTCTCACCTGATTCCCATTCGATCCCTAAATTGCAGGCTCCAATCTACTCTGTGTGTGTGTGTGTCTGTGTATGTGTGTGTGCATGCACACGCATGTGCCTGGTAGTACCGGAGGGCCTGGGTGCTATCCTTGAGCTTTTTTGTGAGCGCTCTACCTCTTGGAGCCACAGCTCCACTTCTGGTTTTCTGAGTGGTTCATGGGAGATCAGAGTCTCAGGGACTTTCCTGTCTGGGTTGGCTTTGAACCGTGATCCTCAGATCTCAGCCTCCTGAGTAGCTAGGATGCCATCAAATCTACTTTCTTGATAAGTCACCCAGCAGTT